TCTATTCGATCTTCGCAGGTTACATCATCCTCAATAGTTTGTGATACTGTTGGAATATCAACCACTTCACCGTGCCATGTCCATATGGTGTAATTCTTCATATCCCATCGCAAATAAGATGCTCCGCGTTGTGTCCATCTCTTGTACTCTGCCATTTACACAATTAACGCATGGGCAGTAGATTTTTCCATTCATTTTGGGAGCATTTTGTTCGGCAAATTTCAAAAAGGAGTCAACTCCATTCTCATACTCTTCTGACATACGACTTGCATTGACCCAAGTTCGATCCATCTAACTACACAAGAAGGCTTGCCTAGATATTCAAGGTTTATTAGAAAAGGTTTAACAAAACAATACAAAAAAAACGTGTACATTGCCTAACAATGCTCTAATGTTCCATACATGCTCTAATGTTCCATATACCACTTCGAAAGCTAAACCTAAACCTAAACGAAACCTAATGTTCCATATACCACTTCGAAACCTAAACGAACCTAGATCAAATCAAACCATATATACAAAATCATCCATCATCTTTCTAATGTTCATACGCAGGAAATGCTCTAAATAATCCATATTTATGTTAAATGCATGCTGTAAATCATCCATACAACTTAATCTAACCTGATGAGAGCGCGGCGAGTGGGCGGCGAAGGAGGTAGCAGCGGCGAGGGGGCAGAGCGCGGCGAGTGGGCGGTGAGTGGGCAGCAGACAACAGCGAATGAGGTAGCAGCGGCGAGGGGGCAGAGCGAGGGGGCGGCGAACTGGGCGGCGAGGGGGCAGCAGTGAGGACTGAGGCACAGCGAAGAAGAAGCAGAAGGAGGGAATATGTAGGACGAAGAAGAAGTTGAATAACCGCGCGCCTTGGATAGGACATTCAACGTCGGTTATTAAAAAACCCGACGTGGATAACGCTTTCAACGTCGGGTAAATCATGTAACCGACGTTGATTTTGGGAATTCAACGTCGGTTATACATAACTGACGTTAAATTTAAACATTTAACGTCGTCTGTCATATAACCGACGTTGAATTCCAGTTACTACGTCGTTTATGATATAACCGACGTTAAATTTTGTTTCATAATTACAAGTTTGCCACCGCGTCTTGTACAACGTCGGTCTTCGTGATAACCGACGTTGGATGGTGTCGTAGAAAGTGAATTCTGTAGTAGTGCATGGAGGTTAATGTTGTTGGTGTTGCTAATAGACATGTAATCTAACATGTATAATGAAAATGGTACATTACATAACATGGTTAGTGCTACAACGTTGACATTTTCTTATATTCTTATATCTTATCATGAGTCTGACATATTAAGTTCATATCCATCCTTGAGACATTAATACTAAATTGTACTTCTTCTAAATTCATATATTCTTCGTTTCAATTTTTCATGGTCAAATATTAAAAGAAAACTTAAATTGTTAGGGTTTATTATGTGTTGGAATTTATAATTTTTATTAAATTTGTGAAAATTTGATTTCAAATAATATACAATATTTAAATTAAAAAAAACTAAAACATGCATTGTGCAAAGTCATCTAAAATTTAATTAAATGAAAAATTACATTCATAACTAATAAAATTACAATCATAAAAACATGCAATTATTCAATTAATTATTACAGTCATAAAAAATAAAAAAAATGATGGTAAATATATTTCAGTCATCCAAACTATACAAAAAGTACAACCATCCAAATCCGAACAATAAAGTACAATCATAAAAAAAACTTACAAAGGTATCAACAATAACATGAATGAGACGTTTATTCAAGACTCTCACGAATATGATCAATTTGGTTTTCAACCTGATCGATTCTATGGTGCACATAATTAATCTCTCGTTGTAGACTCTAGTAATTATTCTGAACATTCACTTCAAGTCTACCTGTCTTTGCATATCCTGAATATCTCCACGTATTAAATTTATGGTATCAGCTTATTGGGGAGGATATACCTGTTCTCCTTGAACTGGTGCTTGTGTTTGTCCATGTTCAACCCGCACATTTTCATCTTCACTGGAGGGTGACTCAAGGTCAAGTTGCTAGACATATTGACATCTGTCATGTTGCCATGCCCTATCAACATTTATGACATTTAACTTTTTCAAAAATGTCTTGTTAAATTTATGTGTTCGTCCAAGGGAGTGACATGACTGTAAAATCAAGTCCAAGCCACAATGTAGTATAATACAAGTAATTAAAAAATCATAAGGTAGAGACATATGATTAGCCTTACATTTCCTCATATATATGAGCATATAATAAGGCCAATTAATCGGGATGTGATTCTTTATACATTTCCTCATATATCTGAGGATATAATAAGGCCAAGTAATTGGGATGTGATTCTTTATGCATTTAATCATAAATATATCATCTTGTAACACTTAAGTATAATTGTCTCATCGAAGACTAAACACATGAAGACATAATGAAGAAGTTTTTCCTCCATGATCAAACTATTAACATTCCTACAAGTTCGAACTTGTAGTTCCGATCTATCTCACCCCTAAAAAAAGATGATATGGGAATTCGAACACAGGCATAACGAAGAAGTTAAAGTCCATTACTTTTGGTTGTGTTATTTACTTGGGACATAATTTGCGTAATATTTTTTCATCTGACGTATAGTCTAATAAAGTAGGGAAAATAGGAAAGTTAGGAGAAGGGATTGGTGCAGACTCCTATATTGCCTTTTTCCCCTTATTTTGTGACCCATGTCTTTGTCTCTTGGATCGATCTTGATGACGATGAAGACATAATTCAAACTCTTGAAATATCTTACCTATGTACATAAAAATATTTTATTTTAATTAATCATATCATATTATGGATAATGATAATAATAAAGTTCCGATTGAAATTTAATGTCCTAATATAGACAATTTATAAAGTAGAAAAAAAATATTCCTAAATCTAAACTAAGCACTAATTTGACAATTATTTATATTGTAATAAATTATTATTACTAAAAAAAATTATGTCTCACATTTTATGTATTTAAAATTTTAATGTCTTAATATAGACAATTTATAAAATAACAAAATAAAATTTATTCCTAAATCTAAACTAGGCACATTTCACGTGGCTTGTGTTCATGTACTACTTGGACAATTAATTATATTTTAATTGATTATCTTTACCACTCTTGTTTTGGCTCTCAAGGTTTTTTTTTTTGGACGGTTAGAAATAAAAACTTAGTACAAAATTACTAGCCATCTATGCAACATAATTCATACTTATTTAACCAAACATTTTGTTAAATTTATGTTCCATGAGAAGTGTACAATTAATTATGCAAAATCACAAGTAAACAACAAACATTTTACTGAACAAAATTAGAGAAATAGACACATAATCGATTATCCGCTTGCTGATAATTGATTACGAGCAACGACAAAATCGATTATGTCTTCAACCATAATCGATTATGCAATTCAACATAATCCATTATGTCATCACGCATAATTGATTATGCACTTTAACATGATCGATTATGTCATAAGTCATAATCGATTATGGATATCAACAACAAATCAAGCAAACTTCAACAATAAATGAATAACATCTCAACTTATACAACCTTACACAACATGTAATTTAACGTCTGAAATTAATGAAATCATAAACAATTATGGAAAAAAAGTCATGGTTTCACTTATTAAACTAGACACGATTTGGTGGAGGAAAGACTACCTCTGGAAGATGTTATGACACCTTCCCTCGATCACACATACCAGTATAAAGCTCAATTAAAATAATTTCTTTGTTCTCCTTATACAATATGAATGAATGCACGACAATCCTCCTATCAATTGTTGTACTTATAAATGACAAACGCTTCACGGGTTGGCTCTGTGGCTCGACAGATAATTGGAAAAGTTCAACGTGCTTGACAACTAACAATATCAAATTTAGAGTTCATGTGAATGCAATGTAGTGTGATATTTATATCTTACGTGGAAGTAGGTGGTTTTATTAAAGACATGTGAGTGCAGTGCAAGGAAATCTCTAAAATGAAGCATATAAGACAAACCAAACACTCCCTATGCACCATGCAAGATGCACCATTCGCAACTTATAGTGCAAACTTATCATCTAAAATGTAATACAATTGGTGATACAATTGCATGCATAGGAACAAACATTCATGTGGGTCACTATTTATGTTTAGTTTTAAAGGTTCAATTGAAGTTTCATTGAGATTAAACCATATTTAATAAAATAATATTTTTATAATATAATAAATATATAATAAGTTTATTAGTAAGAATATATTTTGTAAAAAAAAATAATAATAAAAGTTACTATCATATTAGACCAGTGTAAGATGAATAATAGTTAAAATAAGATAAAAATACAATAAAAATTACTTTATATATAACTAATGTAAAATTAAAAAAAAAGGAAAAAAATACACTAAAATATATAATATCTTTTATAAAAGAAATATATTACAAATTTTATCATAATTCTTTTTTACTAAAATTGATTTGAACCTAAAAATCTTAGCTAATTTTTTTTATTCTACCGATTTTTTCAGTTTTATCCTAATTTAATTAAAATTTAATTATTTAAAAATAATAAATTAATTTATAGTTCAATTCCCTATTCAACCCGTGGAATTTATTAGTCCAGTTTAGATTTCAAATCAGTGAATATAACCTATTATTAGAAAAAAAAATCGTAAAAAAAGTTATTTAATTTGTATTTATGATATTTTGGATGATTGAATTAAAAATATATTATTAGAAAACACATAAAAAAAATGACTTTCAAGATAGGATAATTAAAAAATTATTTCTGAATTGTATTTTCCGAAATGATTCTTAAAAAAATCTTGGATCAATAATTTCGAAACTTATTTACATAAGGGACAAGGAAGAAACAGCTTACTTAAATGGAACCAAATGGGCCATTGCTAGGTTATGATCCAAGAAGCTTTAGGGCCCTCATCACCCCACTTGACCTTAAAAAGGGTCGCTGCCCATAAATGCGAGATGGTCAGTATAAAACAAAAATATTTTAAAAGAGTGTTAATCCCTTTGAAGTCTATTCACACATGAAAATGAAATTATAGAAACAATATGATAATAATTCATATGTTTGGATTATAAAAAGGAGGGCACATAATATTTTAAACTATATGTTAAATTTCAGAAAAAACTTAATTCTACATATAACAATTAAAGATTACATTTTATATTATAAGGTAACAACAATAATAATAATAATAATAATAATATTATGAATATGTAAAAATATAAAAAAATATATAATATCTACAACAAGAAAACATTTCTGTAAATATTTTAAAACTCAAACATAATAAATATATTTTTTAAATTTCAAACTTTGGAGAAAACTAAGAAAAATTGTTTTACCCAACATTGTGTTTGGATTAGTTTCTATTAAAGATTAATTAATTAAATATTTACTATAAAGATAGATTAATAAATTGTGTTTGGTGTATATTATTTTATGGGATATTTGTTTTTGTATATTATCTAAAATATTATTAAATAAGCAATAAGTAAAATAAAAAATGAAAGGGAGTGACAACAATAATTCTCTAGTCACAATGTTGTGGAGTGTTTATATTGTGGTATAATGGACAACTTAATTCATTATGGTGCCCAAAATTGTTTTATAATTCATTATAAAATATATTGGTCTAGTTTGAAAAAAACAAAATCAATGTGTTATTTCAACAACTTAAAATCCAATAATCATACTTTAAAAGGTTATAAAAAAAGAAGAAGTTCATTATAATATAGTCTTATGATTATGACAGTGAAATACTCTATCATAATTTAAAATATGTTAAAAGTTTCACAATTCTTATGTTTTTTTATTAATATTATTACTTGATATGTTTATATATTAAAATACACTTAGGTACAATATTAAAATTAAAAGTAGGATAATTTAATTGAAAAATAGTTGTAACTTAAATTAAATTAAACTTAATAATATATATTTTTAAATAAAATAATATTATTTATTAATATATATATATATATTTTTAATTAATTTGATACGAGATTTATTTATTTTTAGAATAAATATATTAAAAAAAATTGTAAGTCTTCAATATTCATTTATTTAAATATTTAATAATTAAGATAAATTATTATTTTAGATAAATATATTATTAAAAAATGGGTTTTTAACTTTTTTATTAAAACTGAAAAAATATTTAATATTGTAAATTTATATATTAAATTATTATATTTTAAATAAAAATTAATTTTATTAATGTAACTTTTTATGTAAATATTTTTTTATTTTTATTATTTTAATATAGATATATTAATATTTTTTAATTTATATTTAAATCAAAATGAATCTGTTAATTTAATATAGGATTAAATTTAAAAAATAAATTAACTTGAATATATAATATTCAGGTTGAATTCCATTTGTTGAAGAGTGTCTTTTTATTCTTACATTGCTATTATTGAGTCGCGTGCATATTTGTTTTTTTTAGGTATGACACGAAGAAGGATTGATGAGAAGCTCTGAAAGATTTTGTCTTACGTATTTTATTTATGTGGACCAGTGCTGAATAATAAAGAATAAAACGATGAATTAACAACACCAGAAAATATTATTTTATTTTATTTGTTTTGGGTGATAATAATAAGATTAGAGTGAGATTAATGTGAAGAGGATGGTTCTTAAGAAATGAAATTGAAAAAGACATGAGAAGGTGGGACGCAGATAATAGATTGATACCAAATCCATACGCATGCCATATTCATATTCATGTTCATATTCATATTCTCTCTTTGTTTCAATCACTTTGTTTTGTAGTACCATATACCATACTACTACGCTAGGCACACATAACACAACAATTCTTTCTTTCATTCTCCTCTTTTTCTTTTCTCTCTCATCTTCTTCTTTTTCTTGGCTTCCCAAGTTGCAGTTCTTATGTTCCTTCAATAAACAATTCACACTTTTTTGTTGTTGTTTGAATCCAAATTTTATTATTAATATTGTGATTCCTTGCTTCCCTTCAAAACTCTCCAAAATCCCACTATCTTTTTCACTCTCTCATAAATTCGCCACCTTTATTCTGCGTACGGCACCTTATTCTCTCTCCATTCCCCGTTTGGAATTCTATCGATCTGGAGCTACCCGCATTCAAAGCTCTCAAATTTACGATTCGGGATGGAGAAATACGAGCTCGTCAAGGATATAGGGTCTGGGAATTTTGGGGTGGCGAGGCTCATGCGTCATAAGGACACCAAGGAGCTTGTTGCCATGAAATACATTGAAAGGGGTCACAAGGTTATACTCCTTTCACTTTCACTATAACTTTTTGTTTTATGTTGAAAATCATGTTTTGTCAATTTTTATAATCCAAGAAGGATTCAAGTTAAAATAGCGCTCCGGTTTCATTTATTTTTAATGTCTCTGCCTGTGAGTTGATTGATTGATGTTTTCTAGATTGATGAGAATGTTGCGAGGGAAATCATAAACCATAGAAGTCTTCGCCACCAGAATATTATTCGGTTCAAGGAGGTCTGTACTCTGCGTATGATATGATCATATTGTTGTGGCTGAGCCCGAGAGTACTATTTGTGTCATGTTTAGGTTGTTTAATATGTGATTTCAGCTTTGCAGGTGGTTTTGACTCCCACACATCTGGGTATTGTAATGGAGTATGCAGCTGGTGGAGAGCTGTTTGAGAGGATTTGCAGTGCTGGAAGATTCAGTGAAGATGAGGTTTGTTCACTTTCTCTCTCAAAAGTCAATTTTTTTTTTCTAAATAAAGTTTAGATGTTTCAATATTACAATTTTCATAATCGTTTCTTTTTCCATTGTTTGATGAGTATATGAACATGGGTACAAAAATGAGAATGCATTGTATCTCAAAGAAATACGTGTTAAATTAACTGAAGTAAAAAAAATAGCTATTAAATTTGTAGCTTAATTACCATTGATTCATATACCAATTATTTTCCCACTTCTGTACTCATTAAAGGCACGAAGCTACTTATTAAATTTGTTAGCAACCAAGTGCTTGAAGATTCAAAGGTTGATTCTCATTCTTGTTATCTCATAATTTTCCAGGCTCGATATTTCTTCCAGCAGCTCATCTCAGGAGTTAGCTACTGTCATTCCATGGTGAATAGAATAATTATACTGGGAATGAGTTGTTTCGGTTGGTAATTTGTTTTTGGCTGGCTGTGTGGTTATTTTCTTTGTAATAATATTCTTTCTTTTGCAGCAAATCTGTCATAGAGACTTGAAGCTTGAGAATACCTTATTGGATGGCAGCCCTGCCCCACGGCTCAAAATTTGTGATTTTGGTTATTCTAAGGTTTGATTATGGAGTGATATCAATGCTAATTGCTTTAAATACATTACTAAGTCATATTTTATATGTTCTGCATCTGATAACCTTTTATTTTCCAAGTCATCTCTGCTTCATTCAAGGCCTAAGTCAACTGTGGGAACCCCAGCCTACATTGCGCCTGACGTTCTTTCACGTAGAGAATATGATGGAAAGGTAATTTTGTTTCTGTCATGGTATAAGACCAATGATGCCTTGGAATGTCTCAACGCACGTAGAGAATTCTCATAGTAAGAGGAAAGCAAGAAATAGGACGGATGATAATAATTTCTATTGACATTAGACTTTAAGAAATATAGTTATGCTTCATGTATGCAATGGCATGATGTGTCCACATTTAACTATCTGAATAATGCGGACAAAATAGTATGTGTGAATTGGGTAGTTTACAATGCAAAATGCTCTTAAAAAATATAGCCATCTTGTACTTATTTATGTTATGTGTTCTAAATTAAAAAAGAAAAGGTGAGAGGAAATATTTGAAGTATTTTGGCCACGAATAGATTAAATCTTTCTTGATGAGTTTTCTATGTATGAGATGTTCACTTTCTAGTTCTTCTACGCTGTTTTGTTTCTACTCAGTTAGCAGATGTATGGTCCTGTGGAGTGACTCTTTATGTAATGCTGGTGGGAGCATACCCATTTGAAGACCAAGAGGATCCCAAAAATTTTAGGAAAACCATCAACGTACTTTTCTTCCCATTATCCATCTCAGCTGACCAATTTATAAAATGTGTGCACTTTCTGACTGTAACTTTCTTATACAGAGAATTATGGCTGTTCAATACAAGATCCCAGACTATGTTCACATATCTCAAGACTGCAGACATCTGCTCTCTCGCATTTTTGTGGCAAATGCAGCTAGGGTATGCATATACTACCTGCAAAAGATATTGCTTGAAGTTAGCCATAATTGTTCAACAATTATAATCGTAGTTTGGTAGTATTTTTCAGTCATTGATTAAGTTTAAGATATGGACTGATATGGGCCTGTAGTGCTTAAGCTACCCCCTTTCTCCTCCCATCACAACTAACGACATTTTGCGGTAAAAATAAATTGTTACTCTATATTGTGATTTACTGCAGAGAATCACCATTAAGGAAATCAAGTCCCATCCATGGTTTTTAAAGAATTTGCCTAGAGAATTAACAGAAGCAGCACAAGCTGCTTACTACAGAAAAGAAAATCCAACCTTTTCTCTTCAGAGTATAGAAGACATCATGAATATTGTTGAGGAGGCCAAGGTTCCACATCCAGCATCCAGGTCAATTGGAGGATTTGGTTGGGGAGGAGAAGAAGACGAGGATGAAACAAAAGAAGATGCAGAGGCTGAGGCTGAGGCTGAGGCTGATGAAGATGAGTATGTAAAGAGAGTCAAAGAGGCACAGGCAAGCGGGGAATTTCATGTCAGTTAAAAAGCTTTGATCTTTAGATAGAGCAATAGATTCTTGGTTTCCTTTGCACTTGGTTTAGTTCAACTAAGGTGAGTGTTTTGCTTGTATGTATAAATTTCACTTTTCCGCATAGGATTTGTAGTTGAATAAACTGATGTGCATTTTTTTAAGATTGTGCAAGGTTGTTAATTGTGACCATATTATAAGTATTAGCTTGTCCTTTTTGCTCTCCATTCCACTCCCCTCGCTATTTGTGATGCAGCATGGATTTAGGGACACATTCTTTCCATATATGCTTTTGTTTAGAGGTCAAAATGCTAAGTGTAGTGTTTCCCTGTTTCCGTTTCCTTTACCTCTTGCATTTATAGCAATAGGTATCTCAGCTATATAATAACTGGTAGAAGCTTTAATTCTTGTAACTTGAACTCTTGGAAAGCAAAACATAGTTTAGTTCTACAATAAACTATTTCACTAGAATGATGTTTTACAAACCAAGTTTTTTGACAACTTTTTAGTAATCTTCAGTGGAATTGTACCTATTCATGTAATTTATATCAATAATATTTCTTACACCAAACTAGTTACCCCAGACAAAGCTTGCAATGGCCCATTCGAATTTCAAAAGAAAGAAAGAACAAAATAGACTATAGAAAAGGATTATGACAAGTTTAAGCTGAAGGATATTTTGTTGCAAAAAAGCAAAACACTTTTTAAATGTTTTATTTCGGTCAATACTCTACTAGAAAAGTTCTGAGGCATTGTATTATTGGAAAACGGTGATGTTGAAAATTGTCTGATTATTTTAAAGGTTTCCCAACATCTGTGCTACTGCTAGCACAATGGAAAAAAGTACAAAATGCAAAAGCAGATTAGTTTAACTGAACATAAATCTCGCGATCATTCAAGCTGTAAATCAGCAGGCACGATGAACAATCCAATGAAGGTAACTGAATGAACCTCCAAATACGTTTGTCGTGGCCCCCACGGTTGTTTAGCATTGCATAAATTCCTTTCTTGGAATTTATTAATTTTAGCATGGCGCATAAACAATCAGCGGCCATCTCATATTTCCTCCATCCTAGGTGAAAAGAACCTCAACTGTTGTAATCACTCCCTTGACTAGAGCCAAACAAAATTGCTCCCACATTCGGGTATATTCATTGTATCAACGGTGCTGCCTAACTTACTAACGCGTGCAAGTTTCTAGTCTCAGTCAAAATGCATTCCCTGTCAAAAAGTGTAGACACGACAGCAACCCCTTTCAGATTTGGTTCACCGATTTCCATTACTGCACGTGCATTTGACAGACCAATGCCACCAATTGCTACCACAGGCAGTCTAGAGACCTGGCATACTTCCTTCAAGCCGTCTAAGCCTATGGTACGGTTATTTGCTTTTGTGTTGGTAGGATATACACCACCACAACCAATGTAATCAGCACCGTCAATCCATGCTTGGTGGGCTTGCTCAGGCGTCTTGCATGATACGCCAATTATCTTTTCAGGACCAAGGAGAGTTCTTGCAAGACGTGCTGGCATGTCAGACTGACCAACATGAACACCATCAGCATCACAAGCAAGGGCCACATCTAGACGATCATTTATAAGTAATGGTACTCCATAGGAACGGCATATTTCAAGGCATACTTTGGCAGCATCAAGAAAATCCCGTGTCTCAGCATCCTTTTCCCTGAAAATTCAGAGACGTAAATCAGGCTAGAACAATTGTTGAAACTGTGGACATTTAGGTATTGACTGAGGAAGCGGAGAGAATAGGGACTGAACATTCTGCTGTGCTTCAAAGTGATGCAGAAGGCAAAACATTAGTCCCCCCGTATGTGTGGTATACTTTTAATTATTAATTAAATAAGAAAACAAATCATGAAATAATAAGGAATATAAAAACTAATATTAAGATACAATCAAGATATTTTGGATGTTTTCAATTAATTGTAACAATGTCCGTGCTTATGTCTTAACAAGAAGTAAAAATTAAGCATGCTTCATCAGGCAGTTCAATTAAAGTGGCAAAACAAACATTTCTAAATTCAAGAATATAAGTGTAATGAAAATGACAAATAATGATCAAGCAATGATTCATCTGGGTACTCACTTCAAAAATTGGTAATCAATTTACAATGGAAATTACCATCTCAGATGAACGCTTCTAGCCTAATGCCATTTCAATTATGATACAATACCTGTTTCTATTGGAAGGTGCTATGTTAGATAACAAACCAGAGACGTTTTAAGCCTGGGTTCAGATGTGGCCAAAGAAGTGGAGTAGACAGATTTTGGTAATGATAAGTTATCTTAATTAGGTTAGTTGACTTTAGACAGATAAATACAGCAGTACAAGAAAGTTTGCAACGCAAGTTTCAACAAGACCTCTATGCATGCAGATTGGAGGCATGATATAAATATGAAGTAGGATAAGCATATACTTTACAGAGGTATTTCGTATTACCTGTATTAACTGCACATACAAGAGATGAAAAAACCAAAAGCAGGCTTCAAGACAACAGAATAGAAATCTGGGCAGACTGATAGAGAAGGATTCCTGATGTAAAAATCAGCTAAACTTAACTATTCAGCCAATTGAATACTGGGTTGCTTAATATATATATATTTTTTTCATTATGTTAGGGCAGAGAAGGGGGGGAGAAGGAAATAAATAAAAAATTCAAGAATAAGGTTGAGATTGTTCATGAAAAAAAGACAAATCTTAATTTCAGATCTTTAGGATAGTCCACTTTGCAAATTAAATCGTAGAGAATTCTATCTGCTATCAAATACTGATGAGGAATCTCAGGTATTATAGGGTGGTACAGAAAAAGAAAGCATGTTTGAAGAAACAAACCTTAATTGAACAATGGTAGCACCTCCTTCTACAGCAGCCTTAACAGCTTCGGCAATAGAGCGGCCCCACTTCCTATTCATAGTTGAATCAGTTACAGCATACAAAAGTAAGTCATTTGGGTTGAACCTAGTCTGCCTTGAAGAACTCTGATTGATATTCTTAAGTTCCAAAAAATGGTCAAAAGGGCCTTGAGCTCCATTTCCCATTGCCATGTCTCTACTATAATCCAAGGCAACCTCAATAAAATGTTTAGCGGTCTGCCAGCAGATATGAAAAATGATACCAATCAATCTCTATTATATACATTTGTTCTTTTCTATTTAAATTACAGAGAAAGAAAAAAGGGGAGTAAATCATGAGAATTGCCCAATGAGATCCTTTAATATTATTATCAAATCAATTGAGATAGTTGTACAAACCTTAACTGCAGAAAGCATTGATGAACCTTTTGCCAGCTCTGCTGATATGCATGATGCCAAGGTACAGCCAGTACCATGTGTATTGCGAGTATTTACACGCGGTGAACACAGCTCGTAGAACTCCTCACCTGCAAAACTCAAGATCCAGAAATGGGTTTCATTTTGAAAAAAAGATTTGGACATACATCAGCTACACGTTGCTATGTCTGACAGATTTTGTTTAGGTCCATTGTGCCTAAGATTTAAACTCATGAACCTCACCATCAAAGAATACATCAATAGCATCTGACGAATCAGGGAGGTCACCGCCCTTGACAAGTACATTCCTACAACAAAAATTAATAAACGGTAAATGCAAAATACTTCGAAGTTGAAGTTCTTTTATATTTTTCTTATTATGACATCTATCCATGAAGTGAAACTCTCCTATATATACAAAAGCATCACAATTTTCTGCCAATAAAAAGCAAGCGAAGCAATTGTTGGGCATCATTACTTTAGGGAAACAATCCAATAATCTACTTATTGCAAGTCAATATTACAGGATAAGCATATAATGCAAACTCCGAAAGTACTGCTAAGGCCGTCAGGTAAATAGTAAACATTCAATTGAATAATCACTTAATATCAAACTTCACTAAAAGTGATTTACACGAGATATGTACAAAATATAGTGCATTCTTATGGAAAATTTTTGCAAGAAGTCTGAATCCATTCTGGTTCTGGATATTGTATCAGCCATTTAGATATATACATATTTTAAATATTATATATATTATTAATCACAATATATGTATTTACCATATTTACTTGTATGACTCTTAATTATAAATATATTAACTTACGTATATTTTAGACACAAGGGAATTAACCCTATACATAATTTTTCACTATATTCAACATGGTATTTAGAGCTTAGTTTTTTTTTTATTTTTCATCGCCGCCGCTGCCCATGCACCTGCCACCTCCGCCATTGTTGCTAGAGCCGCCATCGTCGCTGGAGTCACCATTGTCGCCTGAGTCTCAGTTCAGACCGGCGACATACCGTTATGCTCATCTTGACTAGGTAATCACCTTGTCATTGAGATCGCCGCGATGAAAGTCTCCATGCGCTATTTAAAGTTTTTAAAGTTTTTTTTTTCTCTCTTCCTCCATGACTTCTTCCGCTGTCCCACAATCATCTACTGTGGATCCTACATCATCTTATATCGTAGACAAATATGCTATTTTCAATGAATTTTTCAAATGGCATGATGCTCGTCAGAACTCTAGTTCCGCTACTTCTGTTGCACTCACAAGTACATCTTTTGTTAACCTAACTCAATCTCCTTCTATTGGACCTTGGATTCTTGACTCAACCGTCACAGATCATATTACTGGAAACAAATATTTGTTTTCTTCTTTATCCTTTATGAATAATTTACCTTCGATTACAATGGCTAATGGGTCTAGGGTTTTGCCTCATGGGATTAGTACTATTAAAATTTTTCCATCTTTATCCATTGATAATGCTCTTTATGTCCCTGAGTCTCCCTTTAACTTATTATCCATTAGTCGTCTAACTCGTTCTCTTGATTGTGTTATTTCTTTCACCAAAAATTCTGTTTGTTTAAAGGACCAAAGTTCGAGACAGATGATTGACACCGGATGTGAGTCTCATGGTCTTTATCATCTCTGCCCTTTTACACATGTTAGTACAGTTATGGACTCTCATAGTCTTTATCATCTTTGTCCTTCTACACATGTTGGTACAGTTAAGGAGTCTCCATCTCTCCTCCATGCTCAGCTAGGTCACCCAGTCTTACCAAATTGCAGCAACTTGTTCCCAATTTGTCTAATTTATCTAGTTTATTATGTGAGTCATGTCAATTAGGGAAACATAGTTGTAGTTCATTTCCTTGTAGTATCTCACAACGTGCTTCGTCCCCTTTTGCATTAGTTCAGGGACTCAGTCGTGTTAAATCTAATTTAGGTTTTCAGTATTTTGTTACCTTTATTAATGATTATTCTATAAGTACTTGGTTGTTTTTAATGAAAAATCATTCTAAGTTGTTTTCTATATTCCAAACATTTTTTAAAGAAATTAAAACTCAGTTTGAGATTTCTGTTCAAATTTTGCAAAGTGATAATGACTGTGAATACCTTTCTTATTCATTTAAAAATTTTATGGCTTCTCATGACATTCTTCATCAAACTTCATGTGTTTATATATCTCAACAAAGTGGGGTGGCTAAGCGTAAAAACAGACATATTGTTGAAACAACCCACACTCTTTTAATTCATGGTGAACTTCCTAAACATTTTTGGGGTGATACTATTCTTACTGCATGTTATCTTATCAATCGCATGTCATCTACAGTTCTAATTAACAAAATTCCTCATTCTCTTTTATTTCCTTACGAACTTCTACATCCCTTACCTCTTAAAGTATTTAGGTCTATATGTTTTGTTCATAATTTTGGTCCTGGTCTCGATAAGTTATCTCCTAAATCACATAAATGTGTTTTTTTAGGATTTACTCGATCACAAAAAGGACATAAGTAGTTCTCTCCTTCTCTTAATCATTATTTTATTTCTAAAGATGTTACATTCAATGAGTCTTGCTTTTATTTTAAGTGTTTTTTTTCTCCATGTGTGTCATCATCTGTTACTATCAATATTCCTATTGTGTGTGATTCTCCTGTTAGCCCACCTTTGGATTCTTCTATGCCACCACTACTTCAGGTTTATAATCAAAGACAACAATCCCAACAACCACCAAATGACTCATGTCTAGTGACAACTCATTTGTCTCCTCCGACACCAACAACTAAATTTGACCTTCGAATTGTCCTCCGTAAAGATATATGTTCTACTCGTAATCCCTCTCCCCATTATACTATTTGAGTTATCATAGATTATCTCTATCTTTTTATATCTGCCTTTCATCAATTTCTTCTGTGTCAATTCCCAAATCCGTTGGTAATGCCTTAGCCCGTCCTGGTTGGCGCCAAGTCATGCTTGATAAAATGAGTGCTCTTCAGAATAGTGGAACTTGAGAACTCGTCCTGTTACCGTCTGGGAAATCTGTTGTTGGTTGCAGGTGGGTGTTTTCTATCAAAGTTGATCCTGATGGTACTATTGACCGTCTCAAAGCTCGTCTTGTGGCCAAAGGTTACACACAAATTTTTGGTTTGGAAGTGACATTTTTTCTCCAGTGGTAAAGATGATTTTTGTTCACTTATTCATAGCCATGGTTGCTCTTCAACAATGGTCTCTTTACCAACTGGATGTCAAAAATGTTTATCTTAACAGAGATTTGTATGAAGAAATTTATATGGAACAACCTCCAGGCTTTTGTTGCTCAGGGGGAGTCTTCTGGATTGGTATGTCGTTTTCACAAATCTTTATATGACCTAAAACAATCTCCTAGGGTCTGGTTTGGAAAATTTAGCTGTGTTGTTCAGCAGTTTGGTATGACTCGCAGTGAGGCAGATTCTGTTGACTGGGTTGATAAACTGAAAACCTGTTGACACACCCATGAATCCCAATACCAAACTCCTACCTTATCAGGGGAGCCTCTCTCTGAGAAGTACAAAAGATTAGTTGGAAAATTAAACTATCTTACTGTTTTTCGTCCTGACATTTCTTTTGTAGTTAGTGTGGTGAGTCAATTTCTTAATTTCCCATGTGCAAATCATTAGAGTGCAGTCATTTATATATTAAAGTACATTAAAAGATCTCCTGTAAAAGGATTGTTATATGATCACAATAACCAGGTTAAAGTTGTCTGTTATTTAGATGCTGACTGGGCAGGATCTCCTCTAATAGAAGATCTACTTTCGGATACTGTATTTCTATTGGAGGTAACTTGATCTCTTGGAAGAGTAAGAAACAAAGTGTTGTAGCAAGATCTAGTACAAAAGTAAAATATAAAGCTATGACCTGAGCCACTTACAAACTTGTTTGACTTGAACAATTACTTAAAGAATTACAATTTGGAGATATCACTTAACTCCTCTAATAGAAGATCTACTTTCGGATACTGTATTTCTATTGGAGGTAACTTGATCTCTTGGAAGAGTAAGAAACAAAGTGTTGTAGCAAGATCTAGTACAAAAGTAAAATATAAAGTTATGACCTGAGCCACTTACAAACTTGTTTGACTTGAACAATTACTTAAAGAATTGCAATTTGGAGATATCACTTAAATAACACTTATATGTAATAATTATGTTGCTCTTCATATTAGCTCTAATCCTATCTTTAATGAAAGGACCAAACACAATGAAGTTGACTGTCATTTTATTCGAGAAAAAATTGTATCTGGAGACATTAAAACCGCGTTTGTTAACTCAAGTGAACAGTTAGCAGATATTTTTACCAAGTCTTTACGGGGACATAAAATTGATTATATTTGTAATAAACTTGGTACATATGATTTATATGCATCAGCTTGAGGGGGAGTGTTATATATTTTAGACACTATTAGTCACAATATATGTATTTACTATATTTACTTGTATGACTCTTAATTATAAATATATTATCCTATATGTATTTTAGACACAAGGAAATTAATCCTATACTTAGTTTTTCACTATATTTAACAAGTATCAACCGTTTTATTTTCTTCCAAGTTTCTTGGGAAAGTCTGAAGATAAATAAGAAAAAAATGAAGGCAATGCAATACTACTACAATATAGGCAATTATTTTTACTAGTAAATATGTCATGTCTTGTGAGATATTTTCAACTTCAGCTGAAAGTGTATACTATACATACAATATCATATATGTTCTTCGGATTTTCGCTCCCTAATTCATTATTAGTTCTAATATTACGTGAATGTAATTTAATAAGCAGTATCCATTTGGAAGTATGACTTCAGTAAGGTATGTTTCTCCCTCCAGAGAATTCAGTGAAAGAGGAATATACCGATTTATCACGGCTACAGTTTTGTTTTCTCTGTACTGCTTTTGTATTATTATTGATATCATAGTTTGAACTTTGTAAAAAAAGAAAGTGAAATAAAACTTTAAAAGGTCCATGAGTCATATTGTCAACTTCAAGCTATACCGAACAAGGAGGTTGAAGTCTACTCTCATGCAGCTCAGTTTGACTAAAAAAAAAAACTTATATGTGATATTAATTAAGTTTCTTAAAGCAATGACAAATACCTACCAGTGAACAGTAAGAGACAAAAAATAGTTTTTTTAAATAGTTAGACTGGAACTAAATATTCAAATATATCAAACAGCAACAAACCTGGGACCCAAATCATGTATCAGTTTGGCAGCAGTACGCATGTCAGAAACTGATTTCAATGGCACACCTCCAAGTAAAACTGACGCCTCTTTTATATTCGGGGTTACAATGTCAGTCATGGGAAGCAGCTCCTCCCTGCATTCAGTATCCGATAAATAAATGGAACTGATTTCCTAAAGCTTTATTAATAAATTTGAATTTTGAAATTTTTTAGAGACACTAACAATGATGAAAATAAAACTAACTTTAAATATATCATTGTTTTAATGTTATCCACCAATAACTAACCAATAGGCAGAAACCCATAACAAAGAAAATTAAGGATAAAGCTACTACATAATCAAAGGATTTTCAATAGAATCCAGATCAAGTTCGATGGCCAAAGAAGAATATGAAAAATGCTTTCATGTCAAATCGATACAGCACAGTTCATGTTCAGAAACACATACAGAAATCCTGTAAGAACAGAAGGACCAGCAAGTACATCCCCACTTGTAGATTTCATGACAGGATCAACCACGAGAGCTACCTTCAACAAAAACGAAGGCAGCACAGAAGTCACTTCAATTGCAATTGAACAAATATATTACAATTTTTTGTACAAGTCAATACCTTTGACGGGAAATTTCCTAAGGTTCTGACAGAGAACCTTCACTATATTAAGAGACGGAAGCATGCCTGTCTTGACCTAAAGACACAACATAATTAGTTCAAATGGAAAAAAAATAATAGCACACACCATTAAACTAGAAATCAAGGTGTATCAAGGAGAACAGAAAGTGAGCAACCCTCATAACTGAGTGGATAAATTTTCCGTATGGATCAAATTCTATACAAGGAATGAAAATGGTAAAAAGCAAGTTATGCCGAAAAGTGGGGAACGTTCCCTGAACTTGCTTTTTTTAACACACCAACATGCCCAATAGGTTTCTGAATCCTACGTCCTAATAGCTGAAAATAATAGCTGTTGCACTCACTATTTCGACTTACCACATCAACATGCATATCAGAAAGCACAGACTGCAACTGCTCAGCCACAAAATCCTCAGGCACAATGTTTACACCCTACAATTGCCACGGAATTCAGAACAGGGACAACAAAAGAGCAATATAAAATTAAACACTCAGTTTTTGAATCGACTGTCAACAAAATTAACAGAACACAGTTTATCACACCACAGTTCATTATATGAATAAGCCTTGAACTATCCCAACTTGATGACACAGTATAACATAAGCCAACTCAACACGTACATTCTTATTCATCTTTAAGTAAGAACATGCATGGAATCAAGTTGTCGCATTTCTTGTTTCTAAATCTTTCCCAGCAAAAAAGAAATACAAGAGTTATTACTATGAAGTTAAAATCAAATTGAACCTGAACCCCAACAGTGTTCTGTGCAGTAACGGCAGTAACGACAGTGGAACAGTAAACCCGGCGAGCCGCACAAGCCTTAAGATCAGCTTGGATTCCAGCACCACCCCCAGAATCAGACCCAGCAACAGTGAGCACATGTGGGATTTTGTTGTCAGAATTGGGCTTCATCATCATATTTGATTGCATTTGCACCTTCACCCTTAGACGATAATTCTTTGGATTAGAATCAGTATTAATATGCACTGAATTCCAAATTGGGAACCTCAAACTCCTCCCAAAACAAGGTGCTACCTGCCATCGGAGAGACAACGAAACAGAACAATAACGTTGTATTGATAAATTCATTGTTTATGAGAAGATAACAATGAAAAAAGTGAAGTGATGATGATACAGTGCGGAACCTGACTCACCCGAGCACCGCCATAATCAAAGGGACAACACAGAAGCAGAGACTCGGTGCTCGCCATTCATTCTCTTTGCCTGCGATTAATCTTCTAATTTATTTTTATCCAACAGATTATCCCTTTCATTCATTTCACCTCACGTTAATCACCATGTTATCTTCTGTTTCACATGCGCGATGGTTACATCACTCAAATAAAATTAATAAAATGTATCAAAATTTAATTATGGTTTTGTTATTTCTTTTTAGTCAAATACTTATCAACCTTATTTTAAAGTTATTTGTCTCATAAAAAATAATTTTCTATTATCTTACATAATTTTTTGTTTCAATAAACACGAAGTAAGATGCAGAAAAAAGAAAATATATAATTAAATAATTTTTTTTCTTGACTGAGATTTTTATTTATTTTTTCCAGAGTAAAAAAGAATTGAAAACAAAAGTTGAAACTTTAACTTTCCCTCCTCGCTCATTTTCTCACCAACGAGTAAACAATATCTTGTATTGTTCGAATGATCCAAATTTCTCGTTGTGTATTTCTATTTATTTTTTATGCATTTTATTTTATTAAGTTATATAAAAGAAAAAGTAAATAAAAAAATATTTTGCAGACAAAGATTTGATGAAATGAAAAATCCCGCCAATACTTTCGAAGTGCTTTCATTCTCCGCCATTCCAACATCTCTTCTTCCGTACGATTATTTCGATCTCTCTGTTTCACCTCCGCAATTACTTTTTTCTAGGGTTTTGATTCGCATCGCTTCTACTTCCACTCAACGTTGCAATCTGCGTCGCGTTTTTCTTCCATTTACCCATGCTCAAATTTAGCTAAGGTACGTAAATGCGGTTTTCTCATTTTGAGCATAATTATTGCGTCGTGTCGCCGAAAATGTCGTTGTAATTCAATTTGAATTCTGAGTCTGCAGGTAATGTGTTGTTTGGTTGCTACTCAAATGAGACAAGGGTATTGATGCTTACTTTCGTTTTATTTGTTTCCATCTTTGTGGTTCATCATTTATAGTTCGTCTCTAATTAGGTTTCGAATGTTCACAGTGAAGCCAATTCAGTCCGGGTTGTTAAAGAGAATAACAAGAATTGGTTGCAGCATGCCAATGCTCATGAGAATTTCTCCTCCCAAGAGAAATTTTTGAGCTCTAATTTTCTGTTCTCTGTCCCATGTAAGAAGCCCCGGCACCAAGAACTAAACCCTGGGACTGACGGGTATGCCTTTTACTTCAACAGTCATTGATTATTGATCTTCGTTGTATTGCCAGTTAGTTGAGAGTTTCTTGTCTGAAGTTCCTAGACAATGTGATTTATGTTTTTCATGGAATGATTGGGTTTTGGAACTTCAGCAGTTTTGGGCGTATAAAGGGCAAGCAATTTCAATCCAAGATTAGGCATTTCTTTCTGTGCAAAGTTTCATTTACTTCAATAGGCAATTATTGCTTTGTTAACACAGTAATATAACATGGTAGATGTTGGTTTAGACCTGTTTCAGTTCGAAGTTACCATTTTGGATAATGATGTTCTTACTCCACAGTTTGTTAGTCTGTGCTGAGATAATTTCTGAAAGGATATCATTTTTCTGTTTCCTTTCTCAACTGTGGCTGTGTTGTACTGTGGAACTTGGTATAATAGATTAATATATGGATTTCACCTCAGTTTCAACTTTTTATGTAATGCATTAACTCTCAGGTTTGTATTTCGACGAAGTGAATATATTCAAGTTTCACAGAAAGTACAATTTGACAAGGTATGTTATATGAAAGCGAGTAGTTTATCAATGTAAATGTTCTTACTTGAGACTTCTATAATTTGCAATGAAATGACTTCTGTTGAAACCATTGCTGGCAGGCTTGGGATGCTCTTTCAAGTCTACAAAATTCTAGTAGGAACTACGTCCAACCTGGAAAAACTGTCAAGGTTACTCCAAAGATTCATGAAGATATGAGAACAACTTCCTTCCATGGAGGCTATGAGAATGACAACCGTAGGTGTCCTGATGTCACTTCCATTCCAGTTGTTAGCAATCATAGTTCTCGGGGTTTGGATGATTCGGTGAACAATCATACTAAGTACACAGGCCAAATCAACAAGTCTTCCAACTGCTTGGTTGGTGATATTGATGATGATGACGACATACTTGAGGTAATTTAGTACACTTTGGTTAATTACGAGTCAAATTCATTTGGATCTTACTAGGCTTGCAAGTTAGAATGCCAACAATATGGGGAAGCGTTTTGTTAAAACTTGCTTGATGTTATTGTTGTCAAATTAACTGATTATTAAATCAAAGGACTTACCAAAGTGATTAGTTACATTCTTACATACATTTGTACCTGTTAGTTTAACGTTTATTATTTTACTAGTTTGCTGATGAATGTATGTTAGTTATTCCAACTTGAAGGTAATAGTTTGCACAGTTCTTTTGCTAAGCGGAAACTAGCGAGTAGGTTTGGCCATTTCATTCACGCAGTAATTATGTCCTTTTATCCTTGTTGGTGTGGCCGTTGTTTTTTATTTTCTTAAAAATATACCATTAACTAGTCAATTTTATCCTAACTGCTTCATCCATGTAGATCCTGATTTCTCTCTCTTCGTTTCTGTCTTTGTTTTGACTGATTTCAAGAACATTGATGTTGACCAAATTGTTGAGAAATACCAGTCAACCTGCACTCCCAAGCCATCAATCTCCAAGCTTCCTCCCATAACACCAACTGCAGATAAAGATGATTTTGCTATACAGGGGGATAATGTTTTGCCACCAGAGCTGTGTCTAGATTGCATCCATGGATACAAGGTATTTTGATCTTTCAAAAGTTATCCATGTTTATTTGTCAGATTGCTAAGCCTAATCCTAAAACTTGGTGCAGTTAGGGCTTTGCCCTGAAGCAGCAATTCATTTGCAGGAATTGAAGGATAATCTAATTGCAATCTCTAATGAACTGCTTGACAATGGTGAAAATCTCAATTCTACACAGATAGCGAAGCTTCGCCATGATAGGTGTGCCTTTCCCTTGTAATTAGAGTGTTTACAACATTTCATTTTGAATATACACCGCATAAAATCCAAGGAAAAAGTTTAAATGCTTCATCTATTTTTTTTTAATGATTATTTTAAGATAAATCATCATGCGTAAAAAACTGACAGAACACTCTTTTTAAATTGAATATCATTTGAGTTGAAAATAGAACTTGTTTTGGTAGGTCACAGCTGAATAAGCAAATTCAGCTGCTAGAAAAATATATTCAATCAGGCAATCTTTACGAGGAAAGGCAAAAGTCACATTTTTCTGCATCCACGGCACCATCTACATCTTATGCGTATGAAACACCTCAGCAAACTGCCCCCTGTAATGGATCCAAGAGATATGATACCCAGGTTTATATGGGTAATGGGACATGTGCTTCATCGTTCCAGTCTCTTCCATCTTTTTCTGTAGACAAGTATAGCATGTCATCAGGTCCAGTGGAGAGGGAAGCGTTCATTCCAAAGATTATTGACGTGAATTACATTGAAGGTTCTGGAGACAAACGCTGGAGCAGCCACGATTTTTCTTGGACAAAAGAGTTAGAGGTACTTTAACTGAATAATTGTCAGTTTCCAGTGTATCTAACTCATCTTAGTAACTTTTTCTTTACTTTTAGGTTAATAATAAAAAGGTTTTTGGAAATCATTCCTTTCGCCCAAATCAAAGAGAGGTCATTAATGCCACAATGAGTGGATGTGATGCTTTTGTTCTGATGCCCACTGGTGGTGGAAAGAGTCTGACCTATCAGGTATTATGGTCTTTCAAGAGACCTTTATGAGTTATGGCCTTTTCCTTTTCACTTTTAATTGGTTATATTGATATTCTAGAATTTATCAATACCGTGATCTTACAACTTTGTACTGTCTTGTCTTGTAGTTACCGGCTCTTATCTGTCGCGGTATAACATTAGTAATTTCTCCCCTTGTGTCCCTTATTCAGGATCAAATAATGCACTTATTGCAGGTATTACTGATTTCGTAACTAGTATGCTTTCTGTTTTTGCCATGTTTTTATTCTGATAGATAGATACATGCTTATTTGCGCATACAGGCAAACATACCAGCTGCTTACTTAAGTGCCAATATGGAATGGACTGAACAGCAGGAGATCCTCCGAGAACTTAATTCTGATTATTGTAAATACAAGTTATTATACGTAACACCTGAAAAGGTTGCCAAGTAAGTGCCCTTATTGATAGCTGTTCTATTCTATGAATCATTTTAACTTAAGACCCATAATCTTCTTTTTTTTCATAATGCTATTGTTTTACTTTGATTGCAGAAGTGATAATCTTCTGCGACACTTGGAGAATTTACATTTTCGCGAGTTGCTTGCAAGGATTGTAATTGATGAGGCTCACTGTGTGAGCCAATGGGGGCATGATTTTAGACCAGATTATCAGGTTGGAGCTTTTGTACCCTTCAAATTGATGCAATCAATGATTATATATTTTTAAATTTTAATTGCTGCTGTTAATTTCCTCAGGGACTTGGTATATTGAAACAGAAATTCCCAAATACTCCAGTGTTAGCTTTAACAGCTACAGCAACTGCTAGTGTAAAAGAAGATGTCGTGCAAGCACTTGGTCTTGTTAACTGCATCATTTTTCGGCAAAGTTTTAATCGCCCAAACCTATGGTGTGTTAAATGAAGAATTGACTTAATAAACCTTAAATGGATAAATCATGTTCATTTTCAACATTGCAGGTATTCTGTTGTCCCCAAGACTAAAAAGTGTTTGGAGGACATTGACAAATTCATTAAACAGAACCATTTTGATGAATGTGGCATTATCTATTGTCTTTCACGAATGGACTGTGAAAAGGTTGCTGAAAATTTACAGGTTAGTTCTCATTATTTCGTATTTGTATATTTGACTTGAAAGTATAATGTGATTCGGCTGTGATTTCTAGCTTGCTCTTGCTCTTCTTCTATTTTTTTTTTTTCATTTTTCATTTTTTCATCATGGTTCATGTTGTTTGTTTTATATCGTTGTTTCGACGTGAAGATGTGTGAGAACCAGTTTTAAG